TGTGACAGTGTATCAACATCTGCCATGCTGCTTATCATTGGAAGTGGTTGATGAGTTTGTGTTGTTCATAAATCCTGCAGTCAGAGCTGTAAACAAGCTTGTGTGCCTCTTTATTCTAATGCACAGTTGCAGGATTTAGGATGGCACCCCTCCCAGACACCCACCAGGTGGGCGGGGCCAGCATCTATATTTGCTTTTGGTTTTGAAAGGGCAAAATGAAACTGGATACACAATCTGCTCTGCACGCTTTATTTCTGGAAGGTGTCGGAGTCGCTGTAAAAGCATGTGATCAGTTCACAGCACCCAAGTGGGGAAAAAACCACAGTAAGAATAGTTTCACTTCCAGTTTTCCATGAGTGACGAGAACCCACGGAAAGGAAAAGAAGGAAGGATGAAGTGCAGTGCCAGAAGTGACTCAATATCCTTATGAGAGTTAATCAACAACCCTGAGTCTGACCTGAGTCTGACCCCGACCACTTTCTCTCTTTCTTAGATGCCTGGCCAGTAATTTATGCAGCTTATCACCAAATTCAAGGTTTGCTTAACAGGCCCTGGAAATTTTATCTGAGAGCAATTTATGGAGTTTGTACTTCAGAGCCGATATTTTACTGTGTAGCTGTACTGATGGTTGTTTGGCAGAGTCCAACTTTGGTATTTGAACCTCCAACTGTATATGTTCATTCATTATTACGTTTTTTTTCTCAGACGACTGAAAGGACAGCCTCTCACATACACTTTAAACGTTTCCATCAATAAAAGAGATGATAAATCGTCTTTAAACGTTTCATTTTTTTGTGTGTGTGTTTCCTGTTTGGTTCTTTTGCCATCAGAATTGTTGTCTGAAGGCCAAGAAAGATGCCAAGCGGATTTATTTTACCAAGTGGATCATCATGGCCTTGCCATATTGGTCCATTTGATTGACCTTTATTATAATTATGAATTTATTTTATTTTCGTTTTTTTAAAGACGGGACAGACATGACTGGGGGACAGGACAGGGAGAAAGAATGAAAGAAAGAGAGAAAGAAAAATAGAGGAGGGGAGAAGAGACGGTGAGAAAGGGGGGAGGAAAAAAAACACAAACAAAACACCAGGAGTGAGCCGGTACATACATGAGCGCCCAGCCCCAGACGACAAGGACCACCAACACACCAACGTCTGAGGGCATCAG